TTAGTCGAAGTTTAACAATTCTTGCTATTCACCACTATCAGTGTTGCATGTAAGTGGTATATTCCCCGTTGTCTCCCAACTCTCTGTACTTCTGCAAAATTAACACTGCTCAAAGCATTACATGAGACATGCAGCTGCTTATCAACAATCTACGATTAAAGCAGTTTTAAAATGTGCTGGGTATTCTAATCTTATTAATTCTTCATTTGCATAACAATTTGTCTTCATATTTTTCCTAGAGAGTTTAATACCATAATCTAACAAAAGAAGACAGAGAGAGTTTCAGTTCCTCATTCAAAGTGTCCATTCACTTTCATAGTAAATCTGAGCCTGGGAAATTTGCCTAGGCAGAGTATTAGTTGGTGTGTAGGTAGCGAGGAAGCACGGACGCTGCAGTTCAGAGCAGCTCCAGGATCACCTGGCAGAAACTGCCCGAACAATTCTCAGTGAGCTGCTCCTTCCAAATATGGCCTAGAGTCTGGCCTGGAAGAATTCTGCCTTTTTGCTACTTTCCTACAAAGTCCCTTAAAATAAGTAACATATGCTACCAGCCTATTTCCAAAGACCTAAGAGGGAAAAGGAAAGACAGCAGGACCTGTATGTGAAGGACAGACCCGGGCAGAATAGATAATTGAGCATTGTTTCAGCTGGAGGACAGAAGGAAAACAAATAGAAATTTCAGACTTCCTCCTGCTATGGATGGATATTTTAACAGAAAATTAATACAGACATGTCAAAAACCCAGTTAAACTCCAGCTCCACAGTAAGCCAAAATGAAAAGCGACAGCAGCTTGACGTAACTTACCCTGTTGTCTCATCTCAAATTCTGACAATGAGTTTGAATTGTAGGATAACATAAGTTTGACACAAAATACTCGTCCAGTGTCCCATCTTCTGCTCCAGAAGCAAAATGCTTTCGCTTGAAAAAAATTAAATTTGTACCCATATAATGGGAAAGATGATTGCATGTCTTACATCTGATGCATGTTTTGAAAGCTGTATCTGCCAGTGTTTCTAGAGTCTGAAAAGATAGTTTGAGAAATGTGAGTTTTCCCATTTGGGTATTAATTCATTCACAGAACTCAGGGAAAAAAAATCCCTTGTAGCAAAATAATTGCATGTTTTTTATATTTTCTCCTAACACTAAAAAGAAGAAATAGGAGGAAAAATTGAGCAACAATTCCTTTGACCACTGTGCAGAAATGTCAAATGCTTTTCATTTATTATGTGACATTTCAAGCTTTTTCCACTGTTAAACAAATTACCTAAAAAAAAAAAAAATTTCCTTTGAGTAACATCTCATTAAAGTGAGATGTCCTTGAGAAATTCTGCTGACTTTTATAAATGGACAAAAAAGGGAGAAAGAGGAAAGAAAAGAAAAATTATCAGAGCCGGACAGAGTGCCAAGCCAGAAGAACCAGACTTCAGCAGACCAGCAGTATATATTGTTTTATTTGTTGTACAGCTAGTTCTGGTGGATATTAATCATCCCACTCCAAACAAGCACAGGTACTTAGTTATTGCCTTGTCTCTAAAGCTGATATAAATGCCAGTAATATAACGCACTAAAATAATTTAAATATACTTCACTATTATTGGGAACTATAAATTTTTCTTCATCTTGTATTTAAAATATAATTCTACCATTCCTACTCATTATTCTGAAATTTTCTTGTTTTCCTTGATTTTTCACTCAAAGAAAGCCCAGCTCAGTAATCTTTTTGTGATGACTGATGCACTTTTAAAATGAAAACATAATACATTGCAGTTCATCGAAGTCAATGAAAACAAAATTAGACAAAACAAAACAACAAATCTATCCGTTTCAGTTGTCTTTGACTAGAACGCTACTTCCTCTGCATGTAGCCATATCATCTAGAAAATATTTGGAAGTAAAACCTAGTGATAATAGCAGAGGGCTCACCAATACTAGTTATATATTAGTATTGGATTATAGAAAGAGAAATAAGAGAAAATAATCCTATCAAAACTTTTATCTTCAAGCTGTTCATGAGGCCATGAACAGTTCATGAGGCCATGAGCTCTTCATGAGGCAGCGTCTTCCTTGCTTGGCTAGGTAAACGCTCACTAGCCTGCTAGGCTCAAGAGTTTTTATCTGTATAATCCTACTCTCACCACATAAGTTGTCCTCACTTCTAACACTGTAGTATTTTTTACTTAGCAACAATGACTGTTGGACCCATTTCCCTGAGTCACATTAAACCAGCATGCAGCTGCCATAATAAGGCAGCGGGGCTGCTGTCTGCCATAGGACAAGAACTTCCCCTGCTCTGCGGTAACTCACTCCCCATCGCTGGTGAGGTGTATTGAAGGGGTCAGGCAAGGCCAGTCCGCGCCACTCTCCAGCGCTCCTCTCTTCAGGGTTCCTGGGTTCCTGGCTTGTTTTAGTGAACTGCGTCAGTAAAAGATATGAGATAGGCTTTAGGTACTCCTTCCACTGAGCTGCCGTTGTGGGCAGAAAGCACAGTAGTCAACAAATCTCTCAGTGATTTTATAGCCAGTATGTTGGAGAGAGTCAGCTCATTTCCCAAGTTACAGGAGGATGCTGTAATTCTGCTGAGTATCATGAGCTGGGATTTTTTATGTGGTTGAGTTATTTCCCTGATGAAGGAGGAACCTGTAGCACAAAAAGTCTCCAGGACAATTCCCTCTTACTCCCTTTTCACCATTTACAGAGTCAGGTTGGTTTTTCCACTGCTGTTATATGAAGTCTGTCCCCTAAATTGCCACTCCAGCATCATGACTCTTCTAATGCTTGTTTTCTTGCAGGTTAAGAGTTTTGAGGCCCTCAACTGCCAGTACCTCATGGAAATTTATCACTTCAGCTTCTCACCGTTCTTTCTTCTAGCCACTCTTCCAGCAGAGCTATTTAGTATTTCTTATGTCTATCTATCTAAAAAAAACCCCAATAATAAAAAACAGGAAGGAACATCTGAGACTTGCCTTTTAACTGGAAGATGGAGTAAGGGTCCTGTTGTGACTTAGTCCAGTTCCTTGAGATCATTAAGCTATCCAGTGTATCAGCAGATGTCTATTCACTTGGCATGAAACACTCAAATAAATGTTCAGGAAATTTATCTTCCATTTTTCAAAACGTTTCCCCCTGTGCTGAAAAGAGTGATTCGCACTGTCCTTTCATTTTACATCTTGGTGCTATTCTTCAGGCAATATATGTTTTCTTCTGGAAAGATCACATCCCGCGAACACAGGTATGGCTGTGAGGATTTCCAGATTTGACTAGTATCCTGTCACCCAGGATATATCTGAGATTGTTATATTGATTGCAGAACATTTGGAACATCTGTTCTAGCCTGACCTCTAATAATTCCTGACTTTCATCCTCAATCTTAGCATCTAAGTGCTCCCTCCTTTTCTTGATGGCTATGAGGGCATCTCACTGCTTAGAGTCAGAGACTGTCTCCCTCTTCTCCCGTAGTTACTGGGCTTCTGTTCCCAAGATTGGCTCTTCCCCTCTCACTGTAGCTCTTCTCCACTCTCACTTTAGGACAGAAGAAAGTAAATGTCACTCCAGTCTTCAAGAAGGCAAAGGAGGAAGATCCAGGGAACTACGGGCCAGTCAGCCTCCCCTTGATC